CATACAGTATCTGCTAAATAAACATGTTTGGCAGCTTAGCAAATATCATATGATTGCAGCATCCATGATTTGAAGGAAAACAGCTTTTGCTTTCTTCTGGCAGAGTTTGTTGCTCCGGGCAAGGTACTAAAACGGCTCTGGCAGTTCTTAGACCCACAAGCTGAAAGAAGAGTTGAGGTGTGGCTCAGTGCATGGCCCCAGTGAGGAAACTTCCAGACCCCAAACAGATAATCAACCAACCACCCCATGCAAGCATCAAACAATTGTCTCCTTTGAGTTCCTCTTGACTGAATGGAGGCCCAGCAAGGACTGTTGGTTAGAAGGTACGTTGACAGACTTTGGAATGAGGAGAATCACCCTCTGATTGGTCCGACGCCACTCATTGTACAATTGACAGTGGTACTTAAATGACACTAGTGTCCAAAAGAGGTAAATAGTGAAGAGTGCGACAGTGAGTGCAATCAGTCCGACGGCTTGGAGCCGACTACTAAAGTGCAGGTGGTCCACCGCGCCACGCAGGCAGAGCCAGCCCGAGATGGTGGCCAGGGGCGTTATAAACAAGAAGCACACCATGTCTCCAAACAGAGTCCGCTTCTCATGCTGGGGACCTGGGTTTCTGAGCCACTCCACCAACGGCCTGGGTTTGCGCTCCACTGCAAACCTGAAGTGGCAGAGTTCACAGTAGCTGGTGTTTGAGGACGACAGCCAGTGTTCCAGACAACTCCGATGAATTGTCCCCAGCGTCCCAGTACATTCACATGGAGAGAGCAGGTCCTCTTGGCTACTGCCTTCGTGGCAGATTCTGCACATTGGTCGGTCATTGAAAGGGCTCTGGGTGGCAAGAGTCCGCACTACTGTTGACAGCAGCTGCCCGTCCTTGGCTGAGACTTGCATGACATACTGTGGCTGCCCATTCACTAGGCTGCCACAATCCTCCACAGTCTTCACCACGGGCACAGCCGAACTGGTGCAGTCTGGCAGGACTACGGGCAGGTGACTGCAGCGGCTGGTTGTCATGGTAACAGACAGCAATTACTCTGCTAATGGCTTCCACGTTCATACATCCTTTCCATCCTCTTCGCTGAGTCACGATCTCAAACCGACGTCCCTGCTCCGGGTCCTGAATCCCAAGTTGCCCCAAATCGGAGGCTGCTCTCGCCCCAGCGGACCAAGGCACATTGGCTTGGGAGGGCACCTCAGGGGAACACAGCCAGCCCCTGGCCGCCTCGGATCAGCAGCCGCTCGGAGCGCCTCCTTCTCATTTTTTGATTGCTGTTAGCTTGATATATTTTTTCCATCCTTTGATTTTTAGTATATATATATATATATTTTGTATTATTTAAGGTTTTTATTGTGGATTGAGTGAAAGTTTACAGGGCACATAATCAGTTTCACATTCAACAATTCATATAACTTGTTTCATTACATAGATTATAATCCCCTCCATATACTATGAGTTAAAAGTATTTCTCTCTAT